GATAGACGGATATCTCGTCTTCGCCATAGGTGACGTAAGTTGGCAAAAGCCAAACGAGCTTTTTGAATCCGTGCTGAGATTTCGTCAGACACCAACCCATTAGGGCTGATCAGACTTCCAAGATAAGTGAAGTTGTCAACGCGTTCGACTACTTCACTCCCTATCCTTAGTTCGAGTGTTGACGCAGGCCAGTCCTGGAGTAACAATTTACATTTGGATGGGGAGAAACGCATCCCAAACATCCTGGCATTATTACTGAGTTCCAACAGAAGACTCTGCATTTTGTCAACGTCTTCACCAAACAGGACTATGTCATCTGCGTATTCTAAGTCGCTTAGTGGTCCCCCTGGTAGGAGATCAATTCCTGTAAACTCAGTCGACGAGAGTGTCATTTGCAGCAACAGGTCTATAATGAAGTTAAACAAAAAGGGGGATAGTGGACAGCCTTGACGGACACCACTTGAGGTTGTAAAATCAGATGACAGTTCGCCATAAGCTCTCACTCGACTGATAGTGTTCGAGTAAAGAGCCTTCACAAGGTTTATGTACTTCTCAGGTACACCTTTCAATGACAGACACTGCCACAGAACCTCTCGGTCTACAGAGTCAAATGCTGCTTTCAAGTCAAGAAAAACTATCATTGTCGGACGCCGATAAGCATGTCTGTGCTCTAAAACTTGACGAATGGTGAATATGTGGTCGATACAGCCACGACCAGGTCTGAAACCAGCCTGATTTTCTCGTGTTTGCAGTTCACAAGTTTTAGTTAGGCGCCTGATAATTATTGAGGCTAGTATTTTAGATACTATGTTAGTCAGACTAATCCCTCTATGGTTATCGCAGGATGATTTTGACCCCTTTTTATATATTGGGACAATCAGTGATTGTGACCAGTCGGATGGGATTACATCCGTCTCCCAGATTTTAGCCAGAATATTAGTCAACCTAATCGCTAAAATTGGACCACCATATTTAAAGACCTCTGGAGCCAATCCATCAGGACCAGCTGCTCTTCCTCGTTTCAGATTACCTATAGCCTTTTGAACTTCAAGTAGGGTCGGGGGGCCTACTTCAATGTTCCATTCAGGTTTTCTAGGAATAGTGGGTAGTTGTGCAGTAGCTGAAGGCCAGCTAAACTGCTCCTTAAAGTGTTCCGCCCATCGTTCTAAACGTTTGGGTAGAGAGCAGATAAGGGTTCCATCTTTTTCCGAGATCGTCTCACTTACACTTGACTTCTTAATTCCAGTTTCTTTTATTAGTCTGAATAGTTGCCTGGTGTTGCCTACAGCCGCTGCCTTTTCCATCTCTTTTGCTTTCGTTGCCCACCACTGCTCACGATCGTTCCTTAGACTTTTAGTTAACCTAGATCTAATTTGTTTACGCTCTTCGTCATGTTCAGAGCCTGATGGTATGAGTTTACGCGAATCCATCAGTGAAATAGACTTAGAAGAAATCCACTGGTTTTTTGGAGCCCTATGGTTTAAATGACTAATAGATGTTACTGCTGTCTCCACAGCTGTTCGTATGCCTTTCCAAGCAGCATCTGGGTCAGTCTCGTTTACAGAACTGCCTAGATGTGAACTCAGTTGTCTCTGGAATTCACATTTGGCTTTCTCGTCCTCCAGTTCAATCCTAACGGGTCTTCTTAGTTTACTTTTCCTGCGTCCATTGAGGCGCAGACAAATGCGTGCTCGTATTAAAGCGTGATCAGAGTCTAAACAAGTATTCCAATACGAGCGACAATCTTCTATTGAGCCTCTCCAACGATGACTGATGACAATATGGTCTATTTGAGTCCATCGTTGGTTTGGTGCAGGTGGTCGCCATGTTAGACGATGTCTCTCCTTATGTTTAAAATTAGTGCTTGCTAAAAATAAACGATTGTCTGAGCATAGTTGCAACAGACGATCACCATTATCGGTTCGTTGAGCCGGAATACTAAAACACCCACCTAGATGTCTTTCTGTTTGATTTAAGCTGCCTACCTGGGCATTAAAGTCACCCGCTACGACTACTATGTCTGAGCGCTTAGCTTTCTGAAGAAGCTCAGAGAGCTTTCTGTAAAAGTCATCTTTCACCTCATCATGGCTGCAGTCAGTGGGAGCGTAGGCAGAAACGACGAAAAGGCAACGACGTGTGTCCCTATCCTTCCGAGTTCTTACGGAGCCATTTAGCCGGACAGCACACAGGCGACTGTTAACGGGGATCCATTCTAATAGTGCCTGTTCTGCCCTTGTACTTAGTGCTATACCTACACCTGCAAGTCCACGAGAACTAGCCAACGGGTCGCCAGATACACGGAGGGTGTATTTCGTTGGCTGTCCATTTTGGCGAGGTGAGGTCAAGTGAATGACCACACTAGGATCCTGTATGCGTGTTTCGGAGACACAGCATACATCAATGGTACGCGACTCTAAGGTTTTAGCTAAGGAGGCCTGTTGACCGATTTGACTTAAAGTACGTACGTTGAAGGCTCCAATGTGTAGTTTGGAGCGAGGTTTTAGTAGACCTGGGACAGCGTTTCGCGCACTAGAATCGTTGGCCATGGTGACACTTGAGGAGGAAACCGAGAGAGGAAGTTTAGTGTTGAAAGTCAAGGTAGTAGGAATTGAAGAAGGAGATTGATTATGAATACAGTGGTCTTGAGTGTTGTTAGAGGTATGAGGGCAGTTATCACTTCCCGGTTGCCCACACCGTGGAAGGATTCTTCTAGAGGTACCTGAAAAGGGAATTGGGTTAGAAGTGGTCTTAATGACCGGAGAGCGTGACCGCAGTGCCCAAGGGACAACTGCTTGAGGTCGGTCACACACGACCTTTTTGTGGGTAGTTTTTGTGTTAGCTCCGTTCTTCAAAAAAACCTTACCGCCGGAGACGGATATCCGTGGGATAAGGCGAGGTGTGCATTTTTAGGGTCGACCTTTTCTAACCCCACCCCTCCTTGTGGGAAGGCAGCATCGCTGTCATGCTGGTTGTCTGAAGGAAACACCTTACTGCCTTCACACCTCTGTACAGTCAGCAGTACGACTTCGCCTTCGGACCTTGGGTTTGCTGCTTTTAGTCTCACCGCTCTTCAATCGACCTGTCTGGCATGGTAGGACCTCGAGGAACGATTGTTCCAGCCAGCATAGCTCGATTGGATCATCACGATAGGCAAGCCCGACCACCACGTCAAGGTAGCAGCAACGGTCGGGCCCTATCTTTCCGGGTCCTTACTGATCCGTTTAGTCGGACAGCGCATAGACGACTGTCTACTGGGATCCAGTCTAAAAGAGCTAGTTCTGCCCTACGACTTAATGCTATACCTACTCCAGCGAGGTCACGGGAAGCAGCGTCAGGGCTTCCAGATACATGAAGCGTGTATCGAGATGAAACTTTATTTTGATTAGGTGCGGTCAAATGAATGACACTACTCGGATCTTGTATGCGCGTTTCGGAGACGCAGCACACATCGATGGTGTAAGATTCTAGAGTCCTAGCTAAGGAAGCCTGTTGTCCTATTTGGCACAATGTTCGGACATTAAAAGCTCCTATATGTAGTTTAGAGCGTGGTTTCAGGAGACCAGGAATAACGTTCTGTGTACGCGAATCGTTTGCCCTAGCGGTGCGAGGTGATAAAAGGAAGTGGGAAGGGTTAGTCGTGGAGATAACAGAGTTATTAGGTGTAGGAAGGATTTGAAAGCGACCAACTTGGTCTTGTGTGCAGTTAAGGGTATGAGGGCTAGTATCACTTCCCGGCTGTCCACACCATGGAAGGGTATTTCTTGAGGGACCTGGAAAAGAAGTTGGATTAGTGTTGGTCTTAACGACCTGGGAGCGTGACCGCAGTGCCCAAGGGACATCTGCTTGAGGTCGGTCACGCACGGCCTTTTTGTGGGGGATTTTTGACGTGTTAGCTCCGTTCTTCAAAAGTCCTTACCGCCGGAGACGGAAATCCGTGGGATAAGGCGAGGTGTGTATTTTTAGGGTCGACCTTTTCTAACCCCACCCCTCCTTGTGGGAAGGCAGCATCGCTGTCATGCTGGTTGTCTGAAGGAAACACCTTACTGCTTTCACACCTCTGTACAGTCAGCAGTACGACTTCGACTAGGTGTAGACTACCTGGTTGGGATTCACGAGATGATAGCAATCGAAGGTTAGAGACCTTGAATGGCATGGCTCAAAATCGTTTGCAATGGCGAAGGTGCATCCACTCTTTGTGTTCTACCAAATTCTAATCTTCTGAATTCCTCATGTTTTTATCTTTTTCTCTTTCCAAATTTATTTCACTGTACTATACTCCTTCAATAATTTCTTCAAACCCTAATCTTTTGGATTTCTGATTATACTCCTACTACTTCTACCTCTATGGGATTTGAATCGACAACTTCATCACTGTGCTAATGTGATATGGCAGCTCGAACTGATGTACGTACGTGCGAAGTTCTACGCTGTGACTGACTGACTGATATCGGAATGTTGTGTTACTTACTAAGCAAAACCGCGGTCTGTTATCAATCTTGGTTTCATACCAACCATATATTTATGCGGCGAGACTATGATTTAACGGCGAACCAACCCGATATAACAGGTTTTGGGTCTTAGTGCAAAATCCATCCATCTATTTGGCTAAATAGCGTTTTGGCATTATAGTTGATGTCAGTTCGTGAAAATCACAAATATAATTCCCAACTTCACCACCAACTGTAAATCTTAATCTTAATTCTTCACACTGGTTTATAACCCCTATTTAATCTTAATTACTAAGTGGGCACTCTTATGATCAACTTAACGTCGCTCAAAGGTCGTCCAAAAATCACAGTCCCACCGACAATGCTGTTATTTGCAGTTTTAAGTCCACCACAGATGCAACTACATAAACGGTAGCATGGACCAGTGCATAGACAAACTTACATGGACAGCGCAAATACACAGACAGTAATAATGAACCAACTCTTAGTTTGCAGATCGAAAAAATTATTATGTTTATCGTAAAATTGATATTGATAGATATGTTAACTAACCCTAACGACTTCTTCAGAATACCTTTAGCGTAACCCCCAGGAGGTAATGGTATATCGGACGTTATAAGACCCATTTGTGATTGTGGCAGTTTTGGGAGCGGAATTTCACTAGCTTTTACTCTCTCAGCTAACTTTACTTGTTCTGTGGACATGAAGTAAGAATAAATGCTTACCGTAATAAAGCATCATTTCACGCCGTCTTTTGTCATAGTCTTGACGAGCTGCTTGAAGCCGGTTGGCATATTCTGCATTTTCTTTTCTCTAAAAAGAATGTTAGTAACAATTTGAATTCATTTACGTATAGAATAACAAGACGGTCGAATGTTTCCAACAGCTTTCGGCGTTTTTCCTGAATGACCCTTTCACTGAGTTGAGCTTGAACACTGGGATCGTATTCTAAAGTGGAACTATTTTAACCCTTATATGATCTACCTTGTTTGTCATAGAGAGTCGTTTCTTCCAATAATTGTAGAGGGTCTTTGGCCCTAAGCACCGCATAACGCACAGCCATGCGTTGTTTCTTGTTTTTCTTCAGTTCTCGTTTTCTTGCTTCTTTTCTCGCCTGGTCTGTTGGGTTCATAAACTTCCCACTTTTGGTAGTATTCACCGAACGACGACCCATTTTTGACAAAATGGTTCAAATGGTTCAACAATTTGCAGATTCTTCGGAAAGACCGCCGATATTGCTGACCTTTAAACTTTCATGTCCCGAAATGTGTGTGGGGCAAAGGTACATTTCAATCTCAGTTTCAGTTTGGAAAGGACAGGAGGCTTGATGGCCTGTGTTAGTCCTGGCAACGATGGTCTCTCAGTTGATCCAACTTTCTTTTGAAAGAGTCGACGGATGGAACCCCAAACACATGCTGAGGTAATGAATTCCACTCGTTGGTGATTCGATTGGAAAGTCGGTAGTCAGCTGATAAGTAATTCAAATAGTTCAAATGGTTGAGGACGGAATAGAAGAAGCTTTCGCTTAACGGGATTCCGTGTCTGGTAGCAGTGGATCACCTATACCTCCAGGCAAAAACCTAGGTATATGGACGATAATAGAGGAAAAAAAGAATTTGGTAAATCATAATAATATGTTATCCTTAGTCCTTAAGAATAAGTCAAGTTTCCTCTTAAAGAACTCCTGGGAGGTCGCTTGGACTGGGCTTGTGAACTTTTCTGGAGTGTCCTCGTAAATTTTCCGTTTTGGGAGACAAGAAAAATGAGGGCATATCAGGTGCAAATTTATCACTAAGCAACTTGAAAACTGTAATCAAGTCGCCTCTGATTCTTCGATATGACAGCGGGAATAGGTTTGGTTTGGTTAGTCTAGTACCATACGGGAGATTCGCTATTCCGGGAATCAGCTTAGTTGCTGTTCTCTGAACCCTTTCCAAGAGTTCACTGTCTTTTTTAGGCAGGGGCTAGCTGCTTGTATGCAGTACCCAAGTTAAGGACACACGAACACTGTATACAGAAACGTTTTAGCGTCGACATGACTAAAAGCCCTGCGTATGGACCATAAATTTCTAAAACATTTGGTGGCTATTGCACGGCAGTGTGCGGTAGTCTTTAAGTCTTGACTAACGATGACTCCTAAGTCATTGTGTGCCTGGACAATAGGTAGCTCAGTGCTATTCATCGTGTACGTATCTGTACCCTGGTGGCCAATATGCATCATAATACACTTGGGAGTATTTATGGGCATTTGCCAGGTTTGGGACCATTGAGATCATTTCTCCAGGTCATTTTGGAGTTCTAAGCTATCACCCTTAGTTTGTATCGCTCTCTATATCTTAACATCGTCAGCATGGAGCAAGACCGATGACGATAGTAGACGAGTGAGGTCATTTACGTACAGGAGGAATAACATTGGCCTCAAAACTGTACCCTGGAGGACTCCACTAAGCACAGTTTCCCAGCAAGACAACTTGGAGTTCACCCGTACTCTTTGTTGACTCCCAACTAGGAAGTCTTTTATCCACATCAATAGATTGCCTCCATTCCCGACATTTCTTAGCTTATATAACAGCCGGTTGTGGGGAACTTTATCGAAAGCTTTGCTGAAATCGATGTAAGCTACGTCTACAAGGTACATTTCTGTTTGGAAATCGTGAAGCGACATATGAAATAGGCAGTTTGAAATAAATAAAACTTGAGAACAGATATCCCAAGAATTGATTTTTCCACCTAACGATAATATTCGAGTCTTCAGATTGTTTCATATAGTTCTGGATGGAATAGAGGAAGCTTTCACTCAACTGACTTCTTGGTCTAATAGCACTGGAACACCAAAGCCTCCAGGTAAGAACAAAGGCATAGATAACTATGAACGTTGAAAAATATGTTAAGCTATAGAGAGATACTGTCCTTAAGAATTCGTCAGGTTTCCTCTTAAAGGACAGACTCAGTCGGTAGCGGATTCCAGTATTCGAACACTCTTAAGGAGTAGAAAGTGCGTCTACAATTCATTCTGCTGAGTTGTGTCTCCAGTTTCTGGTTGCTACCCGTGAGCTTTGTATTGGGGCTGAGCCGAAGTATGTATTGAAGGAGACGCTCAGAAGTGTTCGAGATGCTGTAAGTCATTAGGTCGCCTGTACTCTGATGGGTAAAGGTTCGGTTATTTCAGGAGCAGTTCTACTGTGAAACTCTCACTTTACGAGTCACCAGTCCTCAATGTCATCTGCATAAAATAAAACCGATGACATTGTTCGCTTGACAGATCACTCAGAGTAAGAAAAGATAATATAAATTACTCCTTCTGGGAATCGAAATCTCCGGGATCTCCCTCCCAATGTCGAGCGTTCAATATCTTTTTCTCAAGTTTGCATCAACCGAATGGTGTCTCTCTCTTACCTCTTGTTGTTTCGATACGATTCTAGGCATCACAAGCTTTCATTTGACCTATTGGCCTCCACTGAACTATTTAACATTCTGAAAATATTCTCAGTCTATCACTTACAGTCTCACACCAACAGCCATACATATACTGATCTTGTATAATTCCTTTTTTTTTTTTTATGGTGTGATGCAGTCTTGTTCACTTGTATATAAACTACGTATGTCTGAAATATATTATATTATTATATTGTTATATCTGAATGCTGAAACTACATTCTGGACTCAACAGGCAAGGCTAGACGAGAAGGACCAATAAGGATTCAGAGTTGACGCAAAGCTGCTAGTACAGTTTGACGTGTCATTTGTTTAGCATAAGAACAAGATCATGTAAGTCGGTATTTTGATTGTTGATTTTGTCAAGTCGTAATTCATAGGGACAAAAGTCATAACACAACAAACTGCATCAATCAAGACTTTTATTCTAGTAATATATATATGTCCATTAATGCCCACCACTATCCTTCATATCAGCGGACACACAAACTGACTGTTTTTAGCTAATCTGTTAAAGGGCGACCATTTTGTCTAAGTACGTTTACTTTTTCATCTTTATTTTCTCTGGCGAAATACCAGATTCTGACGAAATATCAGTATATTCTTGCTCCTGCTATTCATTTAGGTAGAAATTTCCTGGCGTTTGAGTTAGTAGTACCATATTACGAAATTTTCGTGACCTGAGTTCAATAGTCCTATCACTCTTTCTACCCGTTCTTAACAGATTGTTGATACGAAGCATTCTGGAACATACAACGAATAAACACTCCTGTTTTGTAGAAGTTACACGCGTGTCTAATTTCAGGATCAGGGTAGACCAATTATTGGGAATCACTTATGATCATATTGGTGACATTTAAACTCTCCTTTGTGTCCTACAAAGATTTGGCGAAAATGTACTTAAAATCACAATAGGTTCTGCAGAAAGCAAGAGGCGAAATCAAACACAAAAAGAAGTTGAAACCTGAAAGAGATTAAAGTATTCTAAATTAAAGTTCACCAATCAAGAGGCTTTTCTGGATTCTGAAAACAACAGTTAACACAGAAAATTTGAAAATCGCTAACCCCTTTCTAGAACGCTTAAAAGTTAGCAACGGACCTGATGAATTCAAAGTAATTTCATTACGAAAAGTTTAAGCCTGTCAGTTCAAGTTTCAAACGCAGTGAGTAGTGTCACCAAAATAGGGAGAATTTTCCAAGTTATCAACGTTGGTGATCTTTTTCCATTATCGGGGTCTATTTGAAGAGAAAAAGAAAGATGTAAAATCCTGTCTTATATCAAATTCACACTTCGTGGCTGGTACCTGAACTTCGTTGTGCCATTGTGACAACCGGCTGAATTGAATTCCTAAGTGGTTGGCTAGAATACTCAGTGGGCAACATCACATATTAATGTTATTAGGTTGGGGCAGAACAAGAAGGAAACACTGTCCGACGAGCTTGACCCCGATATGCAACTGGCTGATGCACGTTGGTTGTCTTTGATACTGATGAAGATCGGTCTACTGTTCGGCATCCTGTGATTTGACTGATGGACGATATGGTTAAGACCCAGCGAAATTTTGCTGACCCTACAACTTAAAGGTGTCACAAGTATTCGTAGCTTGACAACGCCTTCACACGTAACACCTTTCATAATCGAAATATGCCAACCCAGTCAAATCAGAAGTCATAAATGAGGAGGTTCGAAGATAGTTTTGAAAGGCTTTTGGCATATTGGGAACTGTTCACCTAATCTGGCGTACGGTTTTGAAAATAAGTAGCATGGCGTACTCACTTATGACCTGGTGCGAATGTGCGATCGAACGCCTTCAGCTATATAAGTCCATTAAAAATATCGAGGTCAGCATCAATTTTGAAGACTTATAGAACCACCGATTCCGGGGGTTTATTTACCACTACAAGTTTAGATCTCTTTCGGATAATACCGCGGATTTTGATCATTAATCTGGATTTAACAGTATTATTGACATAATTTCCCATACGATTTAACATTCGAAGCGTACGGATGAATAGTCAAAAAATGCTTCAATGTGTTTTATAAGTTATTTGTTTCCACGTGATCCCCTTTCCAGCTCAATGTAGCTTCAAAACTAAATGTCTTAATGTTGTAGCTGTAAATAATTCCCCAAAATCAATAGTTCATTAAGTCTTCGACATTGGATGCTGACCTCGTTGTTTAAGTGGACTTGTTTAGCTGAAGGCTTTCGGTCATGCATCCGCATCAGATCACGTTTCAACTCGGCGTGGGACACAGCTCCCACGTTCATTAGCCAGCTTATAGTAAAGGTCCTCGATATATTGGTAACGAATCAAATATATCTTTCCTGCCTCATCTCGTCTGACTTCTGATTTCTATCTGACTGGGAACGATCGAACATAGAAGGTGCTACTGGTAACTAGTTGTAAAATTAAAATATCCGTTGAATCCTCATTGGTGAACCCGACGTGATCTGGTACACCAAGCCAATATAATGTGAGTCTGTTCCATTTTGGAATATTATTATTCATTGTTATTCTTTATTTGAATTTTATATATTGTGATATACTTTTTTTCGCGAATTTTTTCCCCGGATATATTTTAATTAGACATTTTTCGTCATCTGTATTACTATGACGGAACACTCTCCTAAGGTTCTTAAGTTCAAGTCTATTCCCCCTATTTCGATTCAGTTAACGCCATTTTGGCCCGACAATATCGAGTCCTGGTTCTGCTACGCAGAAGCCGATTTTTGCATGCACGGAATCACGAACTCGCGCACACGTTTCCTCGCGGTAGTTAAGGCGTTACCGCGCGAGTTTAACAGGTACGTAACACCTAGTATGT